CGTGAATAAACTGATCTTCTATTTGTCACCTCAAAACACTAAACGATTTCACGATCCGTGTCAATATTGAAACAATGCACTAGGCCCAACTCGCAATTTTTTTTAGTGTACATGTTTACTTTAACTTAGATTATTCCTTTATATAATACTATGCTAGTGTTTCAAAGACAAATCTTTGTGTATTCCAAGAGAACAAATATATATTATTAGACAGGCTTGTGTAACACGGTGAGTTTCTGGAATAGTCTGAATGGCGCTACTAAGAGACCGTTTACTTTATCTCCAGTTGTAAACAAAAAGAATCGATTGCTCGACCATTGTAATAATTTCTGATAAATAATTATCTACTTCCTGCCTTCATGTTCTTGTCATGGTGGTATTTTCTCCTTATTCGTCACTTGTGATTATCTTCCACAGGTTTCACCGCGTCATTCCACTTTTGAATTGTCTTTTCCTAATTTATGACAAGCAGATCCATTCCTGCTTATTCTTCTTGTTATCAAATTAGTTTTTGTTTTATGTTAGAAAAGGTCGGAACAGATTTGAGTGTAGTGCCAATCCATACATGTGCAAGTTTCCAATATTAGCCAGCCAACCTAATTAGCATATTCCAACGCAGTGGAAGGTATGATAGAGCGGGAATGTTATTCATTGTTAACTTATCGAGTTATTGTCTAGCTTGCATGTTTTCTTGTTTGATCTTTATTTTGTTTTTGTTTGTCTCTGTTAAAGGCTGTCCTTGAATGAAGCAATAAGTCAGCATTTAGCTGCTTGCATATAGTACGTATCTTTATAAACAACTAGAAATTCATTGGGTTTTTTTGTCAGGATTCCCGACAGTTGTCTGAAACATAAGAATATGAATTAAAGGGATGATGGATGACTTGAAACGAAAATCTAATCTAATATGGGGACAAAGTTCGAACGTATCTGAAGAAGGACTCCGTTCATACATGTAGAAAGGAGACATAGAATGATCCTTAGAATATTCCATTTTCCCTGGGCTTATTATCCTCCTTAGATTGCCTCGGTATAGGCTTGTTTTACTACGCCACACGAAGCAGTCGATATTTTTATACTACCTCCCATTACATAAAGTGATATCGGCATGTTTGCATGATTGAATAGATCACAGTGTCTTATGGACTTTGATCCAATTTAACGACCAAACTAAAAAAGTTAGCCTCGGTAGTTTGGTATGGTAATTTGCAGTGATCACTACTGCGCATATGATGATTGTTTGTTGACTTCCTCACAGGAATAACACTTACAGTGTCTTCTTGTTTATTTGAAGCCTGAGCCAAGCTGCAACAGTATGGACAAGTATGTTACTAGTGAAGAATGTAAGTACCTTCAATGTACTGATATTCTTAGAAGTCAAGTTCATCACCCCTTTTAAAGTTCGATGGTCGTTTGCAAAATCAGCCAGGGTAATACAGTCCATTAAAGGAACCGCCCTGAGCATAATTTACCTTCATTCTGGAAAACAAAGATAATCACAACAACTCAAAGCTATTCAGGTGTTTTAGATCACACTGTAGCTAATTTTTTCACCTAATAACTTTTATCTGAAGATGATCGATCCTAAAGTTGTCGTGAGGGCCACCGACGTTTTTGCAATCTAATTTTCGTATTGAGCAATTTGAAAGACCCTCGTTTGCACAAGGCCAACAGACTTGCTCCAGCCCTTGTTTCCCACAAATTCACAGTTCATGAAACCTGCTACAAGGTCTTGTGTCTCAGTCTGAGATTTTAAGGCGACGCGTGCAAAGTGTGATTTGGTCCGTATTGGGGTACGTGTACGGGTCTCCTGCAGTACCTTCGTATTCCGTGAGCCCTCATCATTTGAAATCTTGAAACGAGTAGATAATACCAACTCAATTACTTGCCAGAAATTGTCAAGCAAGTTCACGCTAACTCGTGCCAAAGTATGTACATAAATATTTCATTAGTCACTCACGCTTATTTTTTGGGAATGCTCACATTCTTTGTTGAATCTTTGACTGAGCGATATTTTGTCACTCGCAAATCACTGGTAGCAAAATGAGTTTGAGCTAGCAACAGCAAAAACCTGTCGTTATTCAGACGCTGATTAGAATTTCATCTATGCTCCTAACGCTAATGCGCTAGACCTTGAAACGATCGCACGATCGATTTGCTTTTTTTGTATATTGGAGCTGAAAAAAAAAATGTTTAGGCCTAAATTTTTTCTTAACACTTCGCATGATGCGGATGCAAAGAAAACCTTATAATGCAAAAAATAGCGCGTTTACATGCATGTGTTTAAATATTTTCGTTTGTGATCGCAGATCACTGATCTGTGAAACAGGCTTTTAACTTCTATCGTTTACTTTTCAATGCTTCTGTGTTGCAGTTCGAGAGTTAATGAGGCGGCAGTACACGGCCGAGTCTCCCTACACGCTGGGCGAATACGAAGGAGTGTCACTCACGCTAGATGTGTGTGAAATTATGGACGACATCAAGAGCTTCGAAGTCAGGCCTGACGACTGTTGGGTGGTGACTTACCCAAAGGCAGGTGGGACACAAATCAGCCGTCGCACTTTGAAATTACATACCGGTATTTCACAATGATTGCTACCAGACCACAGTCATTAACTCCATATTAAGGGATGAAACAAAAACTTTCTTGCGACGTCATTGACCGCTGCGCCCAGTTCGATTACCGATTGCTGTTAATTGACGGGGCTTTTGCAGCAAAATGCCACGGTCGTATAATAAGCAAATGGGAATACATATGACATGGGAATACATACATATTCTTAACTGCACGAAAAGAAAGGAATGTCCACTGTAGGTATGTAAGGAAGGTGAGGGTGCTTGTGTGTGTAAGGCGAAGGCTGGTTCAGTAGCCTATCCTTCACCACAAAAAAGCGGATATGCCCCTCGGTCTGTCCGGCATTTACCCCCATGATAATTGGCAGTGGCATACAAAACGTGGGAAAACGGGTCGGTCGAGCTGGCTAGGGGGTGGTATTTGTATGGCGAAGGCAGCGGGTATGTGATATGAAATTATCCTGTTCTATTTCATCTCGAGACTGAATTGCAATATTTTATATGTTTTAGCGTCGGTTCATCACTCCATTTAAGGTAGATGATATGAAACAGGCCATGAGAGGGTGATAAATCTGAAGATTTGGAGTAGTTCTCAGCCATGATGAAGTTGCACTTTGTTTAGATGTGCTTTTTTCTATGGGGGACTCCATTGGCACTTGCGCGCCTATTATGCACGTCGTAAAGCGTGACATCATTATGTTCTTTCCTTGGATGCTGTATTCTGCTCATAAATGGTGACATTATTGAAAGTTTTTCCTTGGCTGTGTCACTGAGATTTATTTTTTTATTTCACCTTACAGGCACTACCTGGGTTCAGGAAATCATGTCAGCCGTGATGCATGACGGGAATCTGGAGGAAATCAATAAAACGCATACTATGTTGCGTGTGCCTTACCTTGAAGAAAATATGCCGGAAAAAGTCAGGCGTCTAAAAAACGTAAGCACGTGGCCGAATGCCACCGAGTACTTTTTCCATTGTGGATTGCAGTGGAAGAGGTTTTTCTGAAAATAGCCATCTAAAGCTAACCACGACAGGAGCAGATTCCAGCTCAAACAGAGCCGTGCCTGTCGAGCATTGACATATTCAAATGAAATTGTCTATACAGTGACGTCGGTGTTTTGTAACGCAAAAGTGTATCCGCCTCAACCAGACACATCCCCTGATCGGTTGAAAAGAACCATATTGGTAGGAATCAATTTGGTTAAAGCAACGCGACCACAGCCTGGAAAATACCAGTCTAAAAGAACCTCCCTTGCTAGGAAAATTGCGCCCTCTCTTCGTCCCCCTTGGGGTGTACAGCACAATCTCAGGCTGAGTTCGGGCGGCTTGTTCTCGTATGGTCACGAACAGCTCGACTTGTTGTTCGTGGGTCGGCCGCTGGAACGCCGGGAACGTACAACTGCTTATTGCTGGTATAGTTATTTTGTGGCAAAAGTAACATGCAACATGGCGACATCCTTGTGCATTCTTCGATAGTTTATGTGGATAACTGGGCTACCTTGATTTCCATTTTTAAAGATCATTTCTGTCGGGGAAAATTATTAATGTTAATTTGTCAAAACTTTCCGTTGTCTTTGACTCTAAGCCCTCTAGATAGTTTTTGCGGCTGCTCAAAAATCAAATCTCACAAGCTTTTCTGTGTGTTCGTGAAAAACCCTGACGAGGAGGTGGTGTGTGATCCTGTTCTGAGAACAGTGTTCTTTGGTCGTGCCCCCGCCGTTCAAGCGCGAGAACAAGAAAACCGTGTCATGAACAGGCCGCCCGAATTCGACCTCATTGGCGGAGCTGGTTACCGTGTCTCCCCTTCCCTATGGGACAGCACTTTACTCATGACAAAATGTGAGAAAGGCGATTTCTCACGTGATTCATTTCCCTTCCCTCCAAAAACTCCACAGTTTTGAGTGTTCGGAGTGTAGCTTGTGGGAATAGGGCATGATTAATTATTTTCATAAGGACTCTCTAGGATATTAAACGGGTTACATGGAAACAGAGGTCAGTGTTATCACGTAAACTGGATGGCAAGTCGTCGGACAGCATAGTTTTGTCCACAGGCTAAAAGCGCTGCGCCTGTGTAAAGTGTGATATATCATTGACTCAATTTTGGTCAACGCGTATTGGAGGGTCGATCATTCTCATGTTGGAAAGAAGACATCTGTAATATTGCCAGCTATGGAAATCAAGAACAAAACTCAACCTACTACCGACTTTGCATCAAAACTAGTGAACACCTGTAGCGGGTTTCTGACAAAAAAATAACTACACCTTACCTCACTTGACTTCAGTTGAGGCTGCACATCTTTTTGAGACGAAATAATGTCGCAAACGGCACGGACTGTTATGGAAGTATATTTTGCATTATAATATTATATTGACAACGCAGGTCACCTGTTGGAGTACATCATTATTTTTAACCAACAGGAGACAGTTTAGGCCATGTGCTAGGGGTCTACAACCAAGTGCAGTTCAGTAGAGGTGCGGGGTGGGGGTTCTGCGTTGGCAGAGGCTTTTGTACCGAGGCTTACGAGAGTGAATCAGGTCTGCTAACAGAGTGACAGGTATATTGTTATTACTGACAAGGTCAAAGTCTCGGGTCTGAGAAATAGGATGCAATTTAGGTTGAGCGTCCCCGTCCGTAGATCACGTGATGGGTACTGAAGTTCGTAAAAACAGACTCGTAGCGGTTCAGCCCATTTTCCAAGAAGTTTATCACATGTGTTCGTATGTGGTTTACATTGTGGTTTACACTCTTGGTTACACGTATAGGATTTTACTCGTGGTTTACACTTGAAGTTTACACCTGTTGTTTATACCTGTGGGTTCTACTTGTGGATTTACACTTGCGGGTTGCATTTTTTATTTACACTTTTTTTTCCCGTTTTTCTCGTGGGTTACAATTGTAGGTTTCGACATACCGGTTGACCATTCTGGTTTAAATTTATGGTTTGCATTTGTGGCTTGCACCTGTGGTTTAAACCAGTCCGTCACACAGTTTACTTTCTCGTGCAGCTTTAAACCTGTGGGTTACACTTGTTTTTTTACACCTGTGAATTTCAGTTTTTGTTTGCGTTCGTGGTTTTCGCTTGTTGGTTTCAACTTGATGGTTTGCAACCGTGGTTAACACTTATCTTACAATTAATGTGAGTTGCACTTGTGGTTTAAGCTTATGGGTTATACCTTTTGGTTTAAAGCTGCACGTTATGGTTAACACTTGTGGTACACTTGTGTTGGTTTACACTTGTTTACATTTGCGCTCCACACCGTTTGATTGTACTTGACTGAAAGATTCTTAATAAACGTGATCGTTTATGTTTATTATTATTAAAGATGCATTCTCAAAAGTGTAAATTGAGTTACCAGTCAACATGGAGTTTCCAGTATTTCGAGGTTTTGGTTTTACTCTAACCGGCTCATATTCTTACTCCTCTGTTGTCTTACTCAAAAAAGACTCATTGTTTTCTCTGTAGATTCCCCTGAAACACAGAATAGCAGACGAGATGCCGTCTCCCAGGGTTCTGAAGTCTCACCTTCCTGGCCAACTCTTGCCTGCCCAAATCTGGGCGAAAGAAGTCTAAGATCGTCTACGTCATCCGCAACCCCAAGGACATGATAGTGTCCTTCTACCACTTCGAGCAAATGTTGAATTTAAAGGGCTCAGGTCAATCCTTCGCGGAATATTTGGAGTACAGGAATTCTACCAAAGGTACAAAGGAAACTGTAGGTTCTTATAACACCGACACAATAAGTGAAAGAATTCACCAAACCTGTTCTACTTGTCCAAATTATGCAATATTTGGAATAGAATAACCTCCCACTGTAACTTTGCGACACCAGGGTAGATTAGATTGATTAGATTGACCGTTATGTTGGTTGTCCCCGTTACCCATTGTCATTTTCTGTCACTGGTTATGCAACAGAAGTCTTTGAATTCTCATTGAAAGAAAAATAAACTTTGCCAATTGGTTAAAAAGGTAAGGACACCGAAATACCGCCGTCAGTAATGACCCATCAGATTACATTGGGAAGGCAACAAAAGTGTAGTATTCCGTTAACTTCACATATTTTCTTGCTGATTAGTCATTTTTCCTGTTCGTATTTGGTTGTTTGAAAGCGAGCTATGGATCGTGGTGGGATCACTACTTGTTTTTCTGGAAGAGGAGGGAGGAGCCAAATATCCTTTTGCTGCGGTTCGAAGATTTAAAAAAAGTGAGTTCTCGTAATGAGTCATATCTTTGCATTTAATTCTCCTATCTGATTGGTGTATTTTTAACTGATTTGCTCTGGCGGCTGTGAAATTGATTTGTTTAATGAGCCAGGTCAGTTCAAATCCTTTTTTTAAAAGCTTTTCAACATTTTCATCGCATAACTAGATAGAACAAACCATGTATTCCATATATGAATTTTGGGTGGATTTTAGCCAGTTACAGTCAGTTAATACATGTTGTAAGTATAGTACCTATACTCATCAATACACTGGTGGACGCATGGATATACAGAATTGGATTACACAATACTCATTTTGGCACCTGTTCCAACTATATTTCTCTCTTAATTAACGAGATATTTAAAGCAAAATGCCACTTTTCGAAGCTTACCTGTAAAATATTACAGAATAATGTGATGTGAGTGCAAAGCTAATATCTAGGTAAGGCTGAAATCGATAATGCGTTGAGGGTGAACGTTTTTACCTTAATGAAATAAATTTCTTCGCAAAAGAATTAGGGCAGTATATGATATCACCTTTTGAAACTGATCTTTTCTACCACAAAATGGACAAAAAGAGGGGAAAAGAAAAGAAAATATAAGCAGTACCCTCCATAAGATTGGATATCACTGACGTCTTCTATAACAGTCCTTTCCCCTATCCAACACACAGCGTCAACCAGCTCTACCGACCTCCCTTTTTTCCCTCAAGTTATTTTCAATCCACTACCCCACAAATTATGATGAGACTGTTTCGTAAATGTAGCACTGGCACACGTAGAAGGATGGCAGTTTTCTAAAAACAAGTCTCGTTGATTAACAGTGGTATAGGCTATGTAAGCTTCCTACTAGTTCCAAGCTTCCTGCTTGATGCAGATTTAAAGAGAGACGTTTAAAAGCTTGTCTTTAATAAGTGCATGTTTTTACGATTGTGTGTTTTTCAATTCACACCGTGGTATTTTCTCACGTCCGTATTTTTGTGGGCCCTTACATTTTTGCTGGTTCAAGCGCTCACCGTGATAACCTAGTTCTGTGTGTAATTTTTATCTCCATGCGTTTGTTTCGATTTGTTGCCTGAATAAGTACACAATTCCATCCCCAAAATGTCTATTAGAAGGAATTCACTAGCTGTATTTATTCAGAATTTAGTTTCTCAATTTTAATGGTATGAAGAGGCATGTTCTCCAAAGGTAGTGTGTAGTTAATTACATTTAATTATGCCAAGCTAAGCAGACATGTTTCTGACAAGTTGGCAGTCGTGCTGACGAGGTATGATCCATCCAAATCGTCGTCAGTCTGTTGCTACGAAGTTTAAACATTACAGCGTAAGTGCCATTAAATGACACTTTGGCCCTCTCGTGTACCATTTGGGAACGCAGGACCTACGCGCAAAGGTGGAGCAAATCAGCCGATTCCTGGGCAAGGACCTGCCGGCTGAAACGCTGGACGCTGTCACGGAGCACTGCACCTTCGCTAACATGAAGGAGAATCCCATGACGAACCCCGATACGCTGTATGCACCCAGAGATAAGCTGGAGAGCACCTTCATGCGGAAAGGTGATAATCGATAGTACTGGCTAATGCAATAACATATTCATCCCATAATGGTTGGAATCATGTCAAAGGGGTATGTCTTAGCTTGGCCATACAGTTGTGTCGAATTTGATACAAAGAGGATGGTATTTCCATGGATCGGAACGCTGCTGCCAACCGTAATTGTACATCTTCAGTCCAATTTGAATGACAAGGTATCCCTTGCATTGCAAATCATCACTGTTTTCGTGATTCAGTAGCAACACATATTCCTGGTATTTGCAAAGTAGTTTTTGTTGGTTAAACGTCGAGAAGAATACACTTCGATAGCAGTTCTTTTCATCGCATGATTCTTTGAAATGTGAACTTGTTTAATTAATAGCTCATACTAATCAGGGAAACGTGCGCTTCCTTCGTGGAAACTAAGACACGACTTGACTTACTGTCGGTTATTCAGGGCAGTTTTTGTACCAGGCATGAAATTGGGCAGAGGGGTACCCCCAACAAGTCCAATCCCTATACACACTCCAGCCTATTGTCACTTAACACCCCCCCCCCCGATGTCTGAAAAGAATTCGTGAGATACCAGTATAACAATAATCAAAACAAAGGTGGGGGGTCTCTCTGTCCCATAGTTCACTTCACATGGCGTTTTTATTTGGCCGTGTATAGGCAGAGTGCATTCATCGTGCACGCAGCTGAGAATGTGACGAACCTTCCCCTTGTGAAAACGTAAATCAAAGCTTTCCTACTTCTTCAGCGTTTTAACCCTAACCCTCCTGAATCCTTCACCTGTTGGAGGATTGAGGAGGGTTAGGGTTAATGGATATCTGGCCATGTTAGCACTCCATTATCAGAATGCAAAAGGAATTTTTCTTAAATGTCTTGCTCTTACACCATTAGCCGAAAAACCGAAGTAAGCAAAGGAAAAAAATTCTGTAGGCCAAAGGAAATGTGAAAAAAAAGGTCCAAACAGGAAGGAAAAATAGTATCCTGAATAAAATCTTTTGGAAAAATGAAATGCAGGTTTGGTAGCTCTTTAAAAGTCTTAGTAGATTAAAATACGCTCTATTTTTGAAGTTCTGGCGCAAGCATTTTGTTTTGATTTCGTAAAACAATTTGGCAGGACTCAGTGGCGTATCCTGAGATTTCCACGGGAATCCAAGGGCAGGATATTCTTTTTACGTTTCGTTTTTCCAGACAACTGTGAAATATTCATGACATACATTGTTTACAATGGTATTTGTGAACTTACTTCAGGTATAGTTTACATTAATTTCCAATTTCCCCTTTATTTTCTCAGAGGAGGGGTTTTTAGACCGTCATACCTCTTCCATTTCCAGGACCTGCGCCTCCTCATTTAAAACAACTGAAGAGGCAATTTAGAACCTTTAACACTTTTGATGTTTTACTTCAGGAAAGAGCGGGAACTGGAAGACGCACTTTACCGTTGCTCAAAACGAAGCCATGGACGTCCTCATCGAGGAGAAACTTCGTGGCACCGGACTAACCTTCGATCACTAGTTGAGCAAATCTCAACAACAGAGCGGCACTCGGAAACCTCTCTCTCGATACCAGCCTGGCAAGGCTATAAAGGTGGTTTTTTTTTTGTCCTGAGGCTCAGGCCGGAGTGTTTGAAGTTATGTATTTAACAGGACTGTGGGTATGGGCAACGAGCTGGACCAAGAGAGGGCGCTATTTTCTTGGCAACGGAGGATCCGTTGGTTGGAACTGAACTTGCTCGTTCACTTATAACAACTCGGAAATGCACGCGTGACAAACTCACGGTGGCATCGCTAGCAACAAAATGAACACTGCCAGCCAACATTGCCCTTTCCAATCGATGAGGAGGTGCTTCTGCTCTGGGCAGATACCTGACACAGGCTTAGCTTTGATCTTCATAGCATGCACCATACATTCATTATTGTATGTAGGCTAATTGGAAGTCCGAGATGTCGATAACTGAATTTACATCCGGGGAGATCAGAATAACGAGGGTTCAGATCTTCATATAAAGGCTTTGGATATCAGGGAAGTAACTTCTCAGGAATCTAGAACTTTCAGTTTAAAAGTGGAATCAGGACTTAGTAGGTTTGGAAATTGTGGAATCCATTTATCGGTGTTTTTAGTACAATCAGTTCTTTTAATTACCTTGTTATTTAATTGTCGAAATGGTGTACTGAATTGATTTAAATGGGTAGCAACATACATATACGGTTTTCTCTGGTCTTGTACTGGTAATTTTGTCTTCCATTTTATTTGCATCTCAAATTCCTTCAAGTGCCATTTTTAGACGTCTTTTAAATAATTTTGTGTAATTGTATTGTTTTTATGGTGCACTCTGAAGTGGTGTATCAGGTCTCTGGATTTCAGTATTGTTTGTGGTGCCCCTGGCCCATCGCCGAGTATTTTTTCAATAATTAAGAACACAGAATATGTTTAAGCCATTTAAAATCGTAGGTTGGTGAAAGTGAAATGAGCATCTTTGTAAAATTTGAAAAATTTTTCAAACCCCAGTTTTCATTCAGCCAGTCTGTCCAAACTAAAACTCGAGAAAGCCAATAAGCCAATGCAAAATATAAAAAATAAAGTGATGAAGTGGCGGTAACTGGTAACTTGATGTTTTTAATTGGGAAGGTAACAGGTGTCACACAAAAAGAATAAGGACAAACCTTCCTGTCTTCCATAAATGACTTGAATAATGGGGAACGGTGCAGTTAGGTATTGACTTTACACCTCTGTAAATCATTTATTTTGCAATATTTATATTTCAGTTCTATTTCTATTCTCTAAATTCAGAGAACAACTGTGTAATCCAGCCATTAATTTAAACGTTTGCAATAAAATGTTTCGGCTGTGGCAGCCACACACTGAACATACTAGAATTCATCAGTTTGTTTGCAAAATATAAACAAACATTTTTTCTGGGGTTGTGTAGAGATACAAGATTACATTGGTGAAAACATGTGCATAGTCCAAACAATCCCCACCCAAAATAATTTTAAGGGCAAGTCTGTGAATGCTCTCCAACCTCCCACCATGAATTTTTGTTAACCCGGGATTTCTGCTGTAGCATATTCCATAAGTGACCAAATTTAACCTTTGTACACTGTTAGCAGGTCTGAAAGAGATAAACTAAATTTCTTCAATAGTTTGAGCAAAAACATTTAACCATTGGCCTTGTTACAAATATAGTCAACATGTTTATCCCATTTACGGTCTTGGCTAACCAAAACACCGAGTATTTCCACAAAGTTAACTATCTGAAGTTGCGTATCTGAGATTTGAAAAAGTGTGGAAACTCGAGTGTTTTCATAGAACACCCATTCGTACTATAACATTTTTAAGGATTTATTTTCAAATGATTTTTGCAATGCCCACACACCTAATTCATCTAAAATCGATTGAATCGTTGTTGGATTGTTATTCAGACAATTTGCAATAAGTTTAATATCAACATATTTAAAACTCAAGACCTTTTCATTTACAGTGGTCCCAGAATTGACAGCACTATTAAAATTGACCCAAACTCCTGAGGTGCAAAATGTTGTCCGTTGGGATGATTTTCCTTTTGAAGCATTGAAAGCAGACATCACATTTTTATACCCAACACACTGAGGGTGCTCTGTTAAAAAACTACATATTCATGGTCGTGTGCCCATACGATGCAAATCCTAAATGAAAACATTACGATCAATATGGTCAAACGCTTTACTAAAATCCGTAATTACTAAAGTGATGAAACTTCTAGGAGATTGGGCATAAAAACGTGAATTGTCAATGAGTTGATATCCCGTTTTTGTTTCCAAACTGGTTCTAAGTTAGGTTCTCATGCAGTCAGAAGTAATCCATTGAGCAACGAAATGCTCGAACGGCTACTTTGGAAAAATTATCGGTTAAAGACACTGGCCAAAGCCTGTTCCATACTGGCGGAGAACTCTTTCGGATGGGGAACAATAACTGCTTTTTTCACTGGTTAGGAAATTCACTTTCCTTATATGATGACTTAATAATAGAGAAAAGAGGCTTGATCAATTCAGACGCAAATTCACGGATACTGGATTCTTGCATTCCATCTGGTCCCCTGCCTTCCTGTGCGGAAGTTGTTTATAAACCTCCCGTACCTGAACTGAACGACAGGATTCTGGAGACGGTAGGTACGCAGGTATTAATGGTAAATCAAATGGATGTCATTTTTATGGCTCAATATCATATTGCCAGGGTTTTGAACACGGTGGTGATACTAATCTTTCTTCGCGATTGTAATGAGACAAGCAATTTTGTTTCCGACTTCCATCTGAAATTGCTACAAGAAAACAAAGCTTGCCTCTGCTTTATCAAAGATTTAATTTCAGCTGTCATCCAAGGCTTATGCGGTAACGTGCAGCTTTATGGACTTCGATGGAAAATGTATGATAACTGCACCATTTAATGCACTTTAGAATACATCAGATTTTTGCTGGGTGCCTGGTGCAGTGTAAAACTCGGACCAAGCATACTGAGTGGCACATTGGCCGAATTCGCGTATAGTAGATTGTTGGACTAACTGGTCGAAAGGTTTTAGTATGTCATGTCATTTGGATGAGAACCATTTCCCTTGGGCTTCCATAAAACAACATTATGGTCGCTACGCCAAAGAGGAGCCATAGTAACTGGAATTTGATAATGAGCATAGGATATCAGAAATAATCTTATCTAAGACACTCAGACAACCTGCTTGTGTGACAATCTACCACCTGAACAAAAGAACCATTTACTAGTTGACTAATATCAAGACGAATTCATTGATCTTGATGATCAGTAGTAATTTTATCAACAGTTTCTTGCAGATGACGTAATTATCAAGATGTCGTCACCGGGATTTTTTGGAGGGGAACCATAAAACAGACAGGACACAAGTTTCTGCGAAAATGGCTAGGGCCCTATGTCATTTTGACCCAAAGTAATTCAAGTTGTTTTGGAATTGCTTCATCATAGTAAGTGGCAATTACGTGCCATGAGAATATCAGGCTACACCTCTGCCACTTCGATCCGGGTTTGACTGTGAAAACAGGCAAACATTATTAATATTGACTTGTTCAATGGGCGTATCCCTTGTAAAACAAGTTTTAGAGACACAAGCAGTTAGAATCAGTTCAACACGCAGAAATGATGTAAATTTATCCATCTGATCAAGATCGGGGATTACAAACGATCATTGTAGCCTGTTGGCAATTTGTTTAGATCTAAAAACTGAAGACGTCAACATGTTAGATTAAGCTTAATTAAGTAAGACATATTTACTCCAGAATCACTTTTGGTGGGCCTTCTAGTGGTATCTGGAACGATGACTGAGATGTGACGATTAGTACGTCTTCCACATTGTTTGTATTTTTTTAACCATGCGATTTCCCAGACCAAAGGCACAAAGGGGCAGGCCTGGTAGAGCTATCAGTTCATCACAAGAATAGCGGATGAAATTATTTTCCATATCAGCTTTCACTTTATGCGACAAAATTCTGCTCACTCATGGTCTGCCAAAATTGATCCGAATGTCCCAGGATGGAATGACGGTCGAATTCTTGATCATGTTGATTGATCCTGATATGGGGAGCTCTGCGGGCTGAATTGTGAAACTTAATGTCAAGTACCGCAGGCCCAGGATTCATGGATATTTGCTGGATTCATCCATCCACATTGCAATGTCTAGAGGGGGTCTGCATTGGCAGTTAATGTTGACAGACACCTGCGTGTGTGGTAAAAAAGGCAAAAGGTGAAGTGGTCGAGTTGTTAACGACTCCAGGGCTTGCCCAACGTTTATAGGTAGTTGGTCCTCAAAATGTTTGTTCGACCATCCACTTGATAGTGAAGTAGTGACAAGCAGAACCGCAAGCAGTCCGAACACACTTCCTTGTAGCCAAAATGACGCACAAGCCAATATGGCAAACCAGTCATCTGAGAGTCAAGAAAATCATACTCTCAATATGGATTGTAGTCCCATCAGACACGTTTTAAACGAACAAAGGCACAAAACCTTTCCAGAAACTTTAGACGCAGATGGTTAAAAAAGAAGAAGACTGCGTATGATACTTAAAAAGCCAAACAGACAGATTTTAAAATACCGCCAGCAGCAAATTAAAAGATATTACCGGGAAGTGCAGCAAAATTACTAGGGAAGCCACCAAGGCTACTTCCAAGTTCAAAAAGGCAATATTCACCAAATACTAAGGGTAAACAAATAATGTCACACAGGCTAAATAGTGCCACACAGGCTAAATAATGCCACACAGGCTAAATAGTGTCACACAGGCTACATAATGCAACGCAGCCTAAACAGTCGTGCACAAACTAAAATATAAAACCAAGCGTTGAAATATTGGAATTGGCAGTATATTTCGGTCCGGATTGGCCTTGGACGTTTATGGACAGCTAGCCACGCCCTCACTAGACACAGTGCAGAACAGTGGAGAATATCTTGGCCGGACCCAAAGGTAGTAAAACTGCCACAAGGTACAGCTCTCTGAAAAAGTTAATGAATCCAACTCCAAATAGTTGTACAATACTATTCCTAATGGCTGACAATTATCAAAGTTTTGACTTTTCCAGGAGCATTGAAATGTATGTCACTATACAAATATTACAATAAACAGACTGTATCTTCAACGTGAACTATGTTATTATTATCTTTTATACACGAACCATAAATAACAAAAAACAGTTATTCTTACAGTTTGTGGCCTCGCGGTTGTCTGCAGTGAGTCACTAGTTCCAGAGTCATTTGACGGTCCGCTCGGAAAGGGGAAAAGGTGTACATGTGCACAAAGAATGGCAACCCCAACAGAGCACTGGTCCTTTGCTGAAATTGCTCTTGCTGGATGGAAGAGAGCCTGACCACTGGCGTTAGAATGCTTTACAGCAAGACAATTGACTGACTGTGGGTGGCACACCTTTACTCTATATACACCACACTCCCTCACACTCCAATGCACCCAATGAAAAGACCACACCCAACTGAACCATCCCAACTGTTTGTACTTACCATTTAAATGCAAAGTCCACAATATAGAGCCCCACGTACTTGTGTTAAATGCAAATCAAGGACATCACAGAGTGAAATGAATATTTGAATCAAGCAGCTTCTCTTGTTGCAGCCAACATTGGGAGACACAATAAAGATCTACATTAAAGGAAAATAAAACTTGTCACTGTAAACAATAAATTGTGCTAAGATCTGACAACGAGTTAAAATTCGCAGGTTGTACATTCAAGATATGTAACTTACGTACGAGATATAGGTCCTATGCGAAATATATCCCGTACATACGATTTATATCTCGAGACGTATGCATCATAAATGATGCGTTCGAGTTATATCTCATATGTAGGCCTACACTCTACATAGTACACTCTTACGTAGAACTAATATTTCGTACGTACGTGTTGAAATTTATCGGTCGCATATAAGAGTTTTAAACGACGAATACCAAGTCGTTTAAACGTGATAATAAGTCGATTAAACAAGATAATAACTTCTTTGAAGTGTATAATATCGTTTAATTGGTTTATAAATGTTAAATGACTGTTGCATGCCTGGTGGACGTCATTTCATTGGTTGCAATTTTTAAGGGCGAGATTTACATTGCCAATCGCAGAATACACGCATGATAAGCTGAATGTTTGTACGTAATTGTTTTTTCATGGATAAGAAACAGTATATTTCTGCAACGACTGCACTAACTTGATTGAAAACTTATAAGCTTAAGATTTAGCTCGGAGTTTATTTTGTTTTCTTCCTGTTAGGAACAACCTGGGTTCAAGAGATAGTGTCCTGTGTGATGCATGACGGGGACTTGGGGGCTGTCAACAAGAGATTCACTGGGTTTCGAGTGCCGTTCCTAGAGATGAACCACCTAAGAGCCTCCAGCAGGTTAAAGGTGTAAGCATCCCCTGACATGCAGAGAATTAAACACAGTGATCAGAAAGCTGCGCGTGTTAGCTTAGCATGGAGGGCAAATTGAGGTGTTTCATGTTTAAGCGGGCTGAGGAATACAAGGTCATCCAGAGAAGAGCTGGCAAGCATAAAACGTCTGCCATTCCATGCACAGCTTTAGAAACAAATGCCAAAGCTGCCTGAAAAGTCTCTTTTATTTCAGTGTCATTTTTTTTTCTCTCTTCCACCTAACATCGCCTTTTCAACCTACACGTCCGTTGCAGACCGATCAAGTGATGACTTTAATTTGCACTTTGATGTCCCCCAGGCCCCAGACACCTACAAGATCGTTGAGAATATTCCGTCGCCTCGGGTCATCAAGTCCCATCTTCCACCTCAGTTTCTGCCTCCCCAGCTCTGGGAGAAGAAAGCAAAGATTGTCTACGTCATCCGTAACCCCAAGGACGTGGTTGTGTCCTACTTCTTCTTCATAAAAATGATTAATCCTCAGAAAGTGGACCAAGCATTTAGCGAGTTTTTCAAGGAAATGATGGATGGAAGAGGTACTTCGACAAAATCATTAACAAGGCTGTCAACTGTCAAGGGTCGCTCGTAATCCATATTTGATGATACGAGGCGTTCGAAGATAAAACGTATGAACTCTAATTGCAAGGAATCCATTACTTTTAAGCAGCCCTCTGTTGACAATAAATTATTAACTTTTTAGGCTAAATATTTTGTGTTGTATTGACAAAGAATGGCAGCCAAGTCACGTCTGGGACATCCTTACTTACTCTCACTGATGCTGGGAAAGCATTTCCCGAATCACTTTCCCATTAACATCGCCGACGAACATGTCAGCAAGACTTTTCAAGCAATCACCTCCAGAAATAAAACTTCCAAAAGAATGCTCGAACTTCTACTTTTAACGTGTCAATGTCTTTGTCTCAATCCCTGTGCAAGTCAAAAAATTGACACTCCTGCAAAATTTTACATTGTTCTGTTATCTTCACAAGTACCTTATGGTCCTTGGTGGGACCACTACTTGTTCTTCTGGAAGAAGAGACACGAACCGAATGCCCTGTTGGTGAGATTTGAGGAATTGAAGAGGGTGAGTGATGATTTAACGGTGACAAATGACGTTTCCTTAAGAATGTCACATTTTTAAAACAAAAAAGAATGAGTCATAAAACTACTCACGATGCTAAATCTTTCTGGCACACCTCGGCCAATCTTGTCAGACGAGTTCAGGATGGCTTGTGGCCTTAAAGCATTCCGTATGAGAGATCTTTGAGCTTTTCAGTGTCGCCTCCACGGTAATACATCAAAAAAGGTGACAACTTGAAAAATTGTCATGCTGGGACGTAAATTTAGCTTTTCACATTTCCATGGCCCGGCAATTTTTATTTGATTTCCATCACTACTCAGTCCCCATCACCCAGTCCCTTTCACAATATTATTTCAGGCCTCTGTTGTCATTTTTAATCGTTGGATCTCGCATTTTGTGACTTGCTCAATGCCACCATTCATGCCCGAGCTCAGAAAGTCGCATTCGACCTTGGTGCACGGGATTTGCTATCCAACAATTAGGATCATTATTGTTCCCAAGGTTTTTGAACAGTCAACCCTCAACATTTTTAGACATCCGAGCGCCGCAGACTAAAACCCGACAAGATTGGAGTAGCTTGAAAAGCGCGCACAATCAGGACGACGCGTCGACGACGCTATCAAGATATGTGCCAACCTTTGTTTCCATTTCGGACATGGATTTAAAGGACTTAATCAATGCAGTGCACCGGGAACTACATGTCTGTTATTGTGTTCAAACTGCGAATTAACGAGTCGAAGCCGACTAAATGTTTTACCTTGCGATATTTTTCCTATTTCACTCTGAACCACTTAGTGATTGTCTGAAGCGAAAATGTCTTCTTTTTTTAATGCGATATCATTCCCATGCTTCTTTGCTTGGTTTTTCAGGACCTTAGAATGTTGAGAAGATCAGCAACTTCCTGGGTAAGCACTTGTCGGCTGAGACGCTGGATGCCATCACGGAGCACTGCACGTTCGCTAACATGAAGAAAAACCCCATGTCGAGTCCTGACATCTTTTTTGGTCCCCCAAAATCGGCCACCAACAGTGGTGCTGACAGCGCAACCTCCTTCATGAGAAAAGGTGAAAATGCACAGAAAAGAACTCAAAAGAAAAGAAAAATGCTCTCCTCATCCCCGTGCGCCGTGATACTGTTTGCTGACAGGCATTAATCTTGAGCGAGATAGTATTCGTTTCATATCATTCATTTCTCTCGACTCGCTTGTATTTCAGGGAAGGTTGGCGATTGGAAGTTCCACTTCACTGTGGCCCAGAGCGAGGCGATGGACGCCTTCATTCGGAACAAGTTCCAGGGGACAGGAATGACCTTTGACCACTAGCCAGGTGGCCGGTCACAGCATGTTTGAGGTTATAGGG